TATGGAAATATCATTACTTTCTAATTAGAACAGGGAAATATATCAGCATGAGGCACTTATTCTCTGCTGTTAAAATTATTTAAGGTTTCTCTGTAATGATCAATGTAGAGCCCAAAGGCTCAATTAAACATTTAAATATACCGTATTCCCACCACCAATAAAACTTCCAAGGCCTCAAGAATATCAAGGACATACTGGAAATCAGTGCTCCAAATATACATGTTCCTGGCATATAAACATAATATTTATTTAGCACGAGTGCTTGTAATTGCTTTTTGTGTAAGTAGATATGTAGGATGGTGTTGTTTATAGAAGTATTTGCCTGTTGAATGAAGGCCAGTGCTGCACGAGGCATGTGGCCACCCCTGAACCGCTGACCTGTGTTAAAGGGCTGTAATTGTCTTTTTACTGCAGCCACTAAATCTCCGAGTGCCCTCACCGTTCCATCGCAACATTCTGCCAATGGTCGTCACCTAGCAACCGGTGTTGAGAGCAAACACTTCTTTCTATATTTATTCTAATTTAGCTTTTGTGATTGATGCGCTCTGCAACAAAGTGCTTCAGATGGATGGGCTGCTCAGTCTCAAAATCCTCCATGTTCAGAAAATATCTGTCTAATCAAGGCAGAGGGTGTGTATGAAGGAAATGTCTGGGACATAGCAATTGCCAGAAGTGCCAGAGTTCACGGGGGTGCGGGAGCTGATATGCTTTGAGGTCAAATAAAGATGTATAAAATGTTCCACTAATAATTTTATATAAAACATTTTTTTAAATCATATGCTTACAATGCCAAGATAAGGCAATTAAATAAAATAAACAATTAAATAAAAGTGTAATTGACAGTAGTCTGGGCTCCAGACTGCAACTAAATGGATATTTTGCGACCTTTATTTTCTGCCGGTGACACTAAATTTTGTTAGAGGTCGCCCTGGTGCCACTACCAATCTGCCTAACTGATAAGCGTTAGCATTCTGTTGTGCATGATAAATACGTATTAAATGCCAAACGTGCCAAAAGCGAAACAAAATACACTTTCTAGGTAACCTGTGGCCATCTATAGTTGGTTTTCTTTTTTGTTGTTTTTATTTATTTTTATTTTCATTTTTTCTCATGTGGGTATTTGCATCAAAGATTGGTGATGTGGTGTTTTAATACTTTTGACCTGTCTGAATAAAAATGTGCCTGTTGATCAAAGTCACCTCATGGCCCCTTTCGCCTGTTTATTACTGACCTATTGAGGTCATCCCACCACAATTAGAACAGTTAAAGAGTGAAATCATAGAGACTCTTGATCTTGATTTGAACAGTGAATTCAAAACCCCCTGCAAGCTGTTGGATGGGAATCACTGAGCGTTATAGTCTAATTATATCTGTTTTGTAGTTTATTACAGTTCGACAGTCTGACTGGCTGAGAATCTGCTCATACTTTGAAAGCAAGTGATAAGAGAATGTTTTTCAGTAAGCAAAACAGCACATAAAATATAAAAAATAATCAGCTATATGTCTTTTGCCTTTAAACACACAGAAACTTTAGAGGCTTATTAATTTCCAAACTTTCTCCAACATTTTCTTTCTCTACTACAGCAAAAAAGAGAAAACTTTCTTGAAAAGGGCTATCGGCAAATATTTAAGTGTGAAAACTTGCTGAAAGGCTGGTCTTGTTTGCAGGGCTGTCTGTTTGGAAGAGGGCATCTATCAGAGCTGAAGTTGATTACTAGTGTCTTACCCTTGAAAAGATGCTTCAATCGATGCTCAGAGAATACCAATGCAGTCTGTGCCCTTTTACATTCTCCATTATTACAGTACTTTTATGGAAATATCATTACTTTCTAATTAGAACAGGGAAATATATCAGCATGAGGCACTTATTCTCTGCTGTTAAAATTATTTAAGGTTTCTCTGTAATGATCAATGTAGAGCCCAAAGGCTCAATTAAACATTTAAATATACCGTATTCCCACCACCAATAAAACTTCCAAGGCCTCAAGAATATCAAGGACATACTGGAAATCAGTGCTCCAAATATACATGTTCCTGGCATATAAACATAATATTTATTTAGCACGAGTGCTTGTAATTGCTTTTTGTGTAAGTAGATATGTAGGATGGTGTTGTTTATAGAAGTATTTGCCTGTTGAATGAAGGCCAGTGCTGCACGAGGCATGTGGCCACCCCTGAACCGCTGACCTGTGTTAAAGGGCTGTAATTGTCTTTTTACTGCAGCCACTAAATCTCCGAGTGCCCTCACCGTTCCATCGCAACATTCTGCCAATGGTCGTCACCTAGCAACCGGTGTTGAGAGCAAACACTTCTTTCTATATTTATTCTAATTTAGCTTTTGTGATTGATGCGCTCTGCAACAAAGTGCTTCAGATGGATGGGCTGCTCAGTCTCAAAATCCTCCATGTTCAGAAAATATCTGTCTAATCAAGGCAGAGGGTGTGTATGAAGGAAATGTCTGGGACATAGCAATTGCCAGAAGTGCCAGAGTTCACGGGGGTGCGGGAGCTGATATGCTTTGAGGTCAAATAAAGATGTATAAAATGTTCCACTAATAATTTTATATAAAACATTTTTTTAAATCATATGCTTACAATGCCAAGATAAGGCAATTAAATAAAATAAACAATTAAATAAAAGTGTAATTGACAGTAGTCTGGGCTCCAGACTGCAACTAAATGGATATTTTGCGACCTTTATTTTCTGCCGGTGACACTAAATTTTGTTAGAGGTCGCCCTGGTGCCACTACCAATCTGCCTAACTGATAAGCGTTAGCATTCTGTTGTGCATGATAAATACGTATTAAATGCCAAACGTGCCAAAAGCGAAATAAAATAGCACTTCTCGTTTGAAACCGCGCGTCGCACTGACATTTTATCAGCTCAGCTCAAAAGAAAAGACAGCGCAGTGTGAGCTAAAGCAAATTAATTTACTACACTGACCAGTTGCGATCGAGTCGAGACCACTAAACAGCACTGTGAGATCTAGTGATCGCGCTCGAGTTCACCGCAGATTTCTCCCGTACAAATCACATAGGTATGCGATTTAAACTAGTTTAAAGCCAAATAAATCAGACCTGGATCATTCTCAACAACTGATGCAGAAACACCTGTGCATCAACGATCCAGTTAGAAGGCGTTTCAATCTACAAATCACCAAAATTTACCATGGTTTTACTGTAGTAACATTGACAGTAACCATGGTATTGTGGCAGAATAGTAGAATATTCATATCTAATTTTATTATATTAATAATGTACTAAATATATTAAAGGAGTAATGGAATATAATCACAGTATTTTTGTTATTAAGTCATATCAGTTGTTTGTTGTGCATTTGTACTTATACTGAATGTCTTCAGGTTACTGTTTTTATAGCAAATATTATAGAAACCAGTTAGTTAGGCTACTTTTTACCATGGTAGTGAGGTGCTGTACCTGTGGTTATCATGACCTACAAATGTATGAAAGATGAGGCTGTTATAATTTTCACAGATACTCACAGAAACAGGTACTGTTTTTGTTAATGAAAATAAATGTACATCTAGGCCTACATACCAACTAAAGCTCCTGCTACTCTCAACTCAAGCTACTGTCAAATGTGCATTTCTAAAACTTGTAATATTATTAGTATAATGTGCATATATATATATGGGGGGGCTCAGATTGTCATATGTACCACTGGGCTAGACCAACAGTGTAACAACGCAACTACCACATTCAAGGAACATGAGAATACTTTTTGTGCTACGAGAATACTTTTCATGCACAAAGAAAACAAAAATAATGACTTTAGTCAACAATATATTCTCTTCCGGGTCAGTCTGCCTCTGCCGCCATTCACAAGAGTACCATGATGCAATGGAGAGTAGAATTGGACTCTGAAGAGGAGAATTCGTTGAATAAAGTCATTATTTTTGTTTTCTTTGTAAACAAAAAGTACTCTTGTAGCTTCATAACATAGTTTGGAACGACATGAGGGTGAGTAATTAATGACAGAATTTTAATTTTTTGGGTGAATTGTCCCTTTGAAGGGTTAGTTCACCCAAAAATTACTCACCCTCAAGTCATCCTAGGTGTATATGACTTTCTTCTTTCAGACGAATCCAGCTGGAGTTATATTAAAAATGGTCTTTAATCTTTCAAGCTGTTTAATGCCACTCAGCGGGTGTTGCATGCATCAGTCCAAAAGAAGTTAAATAAAAAGCACTCATCCATAAAAAAAGTGTCTCACACGGTTCCGGGGGATGACGTATGAGGTCGGCTTGAGGTATGAGCAGCAAAATCCTTTTTTTTTTCCAGTGTTATCTTACTGGTAGACCACCATGGACCAGCAACCATATTCCAAAAACCAGCTTAACCTGTTATTTTCCCCCAGAAGGGATCTGCTAGCACTAAATATTATGCCTTGATTGCAAACAGTGTTTGAATAAACTCTTTCATGTAATTTAATGAAGGTGTAACATGAGACTTTGCATTTTTAATAAGAAGCGCTACCTAAATTCGGCCTCAAGTGCTTTGTACCACATCATATCAAATTGAATCATTCCTCCCCTGCTCTGCCAAAAATGAACAATACACTTCAAACATGATGTTTGACAACACAACAGAATTCCGATGGGATGCCCAAAGCAGTAAGCAGAGCTCCAGCATGTATCACATGATATCAGAGGGGGAGGTGAGAGAAGGAGATCTCTGCCTCTTTCTGAAGATCTCTGCTGTTCCATCCATGTACTCAAAATCACAAGATCCAAGAGAAAATTCTTCAAAGTGAAGTGTGAGAAAGAGATATGTTGAGGTTTTACTAGTCTTGCATAGATTTTGGAAAGTTCTTGCCATTTTTGTGTGCAATATGCCTCAGATGGTCTATGGGGGTCCCGTCTTAACCTCAAATTAGGGTTTTACTGACTAGGATCAGTCATGTAATGCTACTCAGCATGGTCCTCAAAGAGCTGGTGTTTAAGAGCTGATCAGAGGTCAGATAGTAAGCCGGACACTAACCTGCAGCCATCTGCATGTATCCTGCCAATGTGCAGATCCTCCTCTCCCAGGCTCCACCGGGCAGGAAGATGGTGATGATGGCCAGCAGGGAGCTGACTGCCAGCAGAGCACATCCACCTGAACACAGCACCGCACTCGTCTGCAACACACACAACACACAACACTTACAGATACTGCTGCTCTTATAAGAGTTCAAACTCTTTCTGGGGCTTGATTGAGTTTTACCACTCAAGCAATCCAAATTTAATTCTGTTCTCATAAAATGAGTGAATCTAGCCACAACTGGATTTAATAGGTCAAGGTAAAACCACAGATTTTAAATCAAAACTGCATTAAACACTGAACAAAATCACCACATGGCTAACCACGTAAAGCCTTACATAATATAATTATTATAATATAATATGATATGATATGAAAAAATTTAAGGGGGTCTGAATACTTTCCGTACCCACTGTATATGATATGGTACTATTAGGCTGTTATTTATGGTACTATTAGGATGTTATAGTAATTTAACAGTCACAACAAAATACATTTCTCATTGCATTAACAATCTTTAAAGCATTCCTATTGATTTTTTTTCTTCTTAAAGGGCTCTTCATTTTAATTTGGGGTAGTCTAAACAAACACTGAAAGCAAGTTATAAAAAAATATAAATGTATGCATCTACATTAAATGTAGAATATATTAATACATAAATTACATAATTGTGGATAATATAAATAAATGGTACAAAGAACACTGTTATAGTGAAAATCAATGAGGGTTTATATCATTTTAATAATAATAGAGCTGACTGCAAATAAATAAATACAATAAAAAATAAAATACAAATAAAAATATACTAGGTAAATGTATATATTTGTATATGTATAGTAATTTTTTGTAACACTTTATTCTTTTAAGGACCAACTCTCACAATTTACTAGCATGCATATTACTAGCATACTAGCTGTTTATTAGTACTTATAAAGCACATATTAAGGTCTTATTCTGCATGACCATATTTAAGATACTTGAATCCCCAAACCTAAACTTAACAACTACCTTAGTAACTAAGCAGCTAATTAGGAGTTTGAGGCAAAAGTTGTAGTTAATAGTGAGAATTGGACCTTAAAATAAAGTGTGACCTAATTTTTAGTAAATGTTGACCGTCTCTGCTATTCATCCACAGCTTGGCCATTCTACTTAATATCTTCTTTTGTTCACCCTACAAGAAAGAAAATCATATGTGTTTGGCACAAATGAGTAAATGATGACAAAATGTAATTTTTGGATTAACTTTAAACTTAACATTAAACGCCGAGCACAGAGTCACAGAAAACAGGGTAGACAGAAATATAAGGTGTGAAATCAATCAGTTTTTTCTAAGTGCTTACTCAGTGGGATCAATTTAGTGAAACAGCGTGTACTGATCTCGTCTAATCTACAACCTTCATCAAATCAAACGCTTCATCAGTCGAAAGGCTCACTCCAGCACTACGCAACGACCACATGCCTGGTCCAAAAACAAAAATAAAGGCCATCCCAGATAGGAGATCTCTAAAATATGGATAGATATCTCTCATCTGGGCTTTTTTAAATCAGATGTTTGCAAGAGCAGGCTGCAGATGCTGGCATGTCTTTGTTAGACTATGACACAAAACTCTAAAGAGTACCTAAACAGTTTGTGTTACAATCCCTAAAACAAAAACACGGAGGACGCATATCAGAGACAAGAGGCAATTGATCTTACTCTGATGTAATACATTTAGGCCTGTGAGGCAGGACACACTGACATCAAGAATTATTGATGTGAAAAAATGTTATTGATTTGGGTAGTATCTGTAACTTAATGCTTAGATGTTGCTGTTGAACCAATCTTTTAGTTTCCCATAAGCCTAACATTTAAAAATCAAAACAATTGTCAGGACTATATTATTCCACAAAGTGTCATTATCGTAACCCTAAAATCTGGCGCAAACAAACAAACAGAAAAAATAAGCTACACATAATAATAATATACATGTATGAAATGTACACTTACACAACAATTTAAATATACAAAAATATATGGATAAACATGCAAAAACATACTGTTTGTAGTACCACCCAGTGGCCATAGACATGCCACAAGACTGTAAGAATATTTAATAACAATATTTTAGTATTAATACACTTTTTATTTCAGTAGCCTATTCTAAAATGTGTTCAGATGAAGGCTTTCTGTAGAGGTGGGTCACAGGTGGCTGCTTTTCAGTGAGAAACATTCAGAGATTTCAAACTGAGGTTTTCTTTCTGACAGTTTGATCTCACTGCCTCTTCATTAGATCAGCTGGAGCTTTCAAATGCCGTTTCGCACACAGAACTGCAGCATCAAACTTACTAGACCAAATCAACAACAAAGTAAACACAACATCTGTTAAAAAACTATCAGCACATCTCTTGCACAAACAATACACATACACAACAGAGTGCGGTTCTTAGAGCCATTGTCACATTAGCAGTACATATCAGAAAGGAGTCACAATAATAATAGAATTGCCAGTGACTTCATTACCTTGACGTCCTAATGGCGAAGACATTAATGGTAAGAGCGGAACGCTAATAAAGACGGGATGGCAGATTCATAGGTGACGTCTGAAACTGCAATATAACATTTGTAGTAATTATGACTGTTTGTGCTGATGACAACATTACAACATCCTTTACAATAATGACATGTCCGCAAATAGAAATTTCCGCTGGAAATAGGAAAAATTCTAATAACGCAGAAAACGAAGAAGTGGAACGTTGCAGACACTCGGCAGAAACATATTTCCTTCAAACAGAACTCATTCCCCTTTAAATGGTATTCATATATTCATTAGAAACGTCTAGTTTTCTCAGCGCCATCTCTTGATCTTGCCATCTTTGAAGCCTTTAGATGAAATGAGCTCTTGCCCACTGTGCTGTCAAACATTACCGTGTTTCATTACAACTAATAGAGACATATTAGGGCTGCAACAGATCAGATCCAGAACTAAATGGTATCCTGGAAAATCATAAATAGGCTGTCTATGACAGGAATGTTGATGATGCTCATAAGTTAAACAAGCAGTTTGCATATTTCATCTCTAATGTATATAGTCTACGTATGGCTAGGAAATGGAAATGTACTTCTTGAGGTCAATACTAATTAGTGGTGCTTGCCAAGTGTGCTGTTATTTTTCAAAGTGATCAGACTCATGATTTTTCATCTAGTGGATGATAAACTGGCCAAAAAAATTCTATACACTGACGCTGAAAGCAGGACCATTTCTAGAGACCAGAATATCTCAATAGAGACTTGAGGTGGGCTGTTTTGAGTTGGGCAACCACTCAGAACACCACAGAAACTGCATGGCTACACTCTGACAACAGGCCGTAATATACAAAAGCCTTTTATTGCAATTGTAACAATCTTACATTTTGGTTCAATTGTAATTTTATGAAGCTACGAGAATACTTTTTGTGCGCAAAGAAAACAAAATGCATCGTGGTACTCTCGTGAATGGCGGCAGACGGAAGAGAAAAATTGTTGAATAAAGTCAGTTCAGAATCAGAATGAGCTTTATTGGCAGGTATGTTTACATATACGAGGAATTTGTTTTTGTGACAGAAGCATCCACAGTGCAACAGAATGACAGTGACAGGACAAAAACACAGATAATAAAAGAAAAAAATATATAGAACAAGTTCAAATTTTTATTCTTGTAGCTTCGGGAAATTACGGTTAAAACACTGATGTCACATGGACTATTTTAATGAAGTCCTTTTAATTTTAATGACTACCTTTCTGGGCTTTGAATGTGTCAGTTGCATTGCTGTCTGTGCAGGATCTGAAAGCTCTCGGATTTCATCAGAAATATCTTAATTTGTGTTCCGAAGCTGAACGAAGGTCATACGGGTTTGGAACGACATGAGGGTAATTAGAATTTTCATTTTTGAGTGAACCATCCCTTTAAGGGGAATACCTTCATGCTTATTTTTTAATGTAAATCATACATTTTCATACAAATCAAATCATACAAGTTCCTACAAATTTGCAACCAATTCTTAATTTGCCAAAACATATCATAAGTCGGTTTCCATCCAAAGTTGCAAATTTAACTTATGTGCAAAATTGGAATATCACATAAAACATTTTCAAATAAGCACCATTTCCATTCAACGAGTCAAAGAGAACAAAATCATCACTTCCTGATAAATTGGCACTAAATATCACAAAGAAACGTAGGAGAAGCCACTGAATATAGCCATTTTCATTTAAGAATGACCATAACAACATTTCCTCTGATTAGTGAGGTTATGGCATCCCATAGCGCAAAGTCACATGACTTTATTTATTCGGCAAATGTGTTTTCATCTCCCATTATTCGCATTAACCCTTTTTCGCACAAGTCAAAAGTAACATCAAGCGAGCGTAAAAAATTTTTTGTACAATTAAGTGATTTTTTTCCCGAAATTTGGTGTTTCCATCATTTATTTCTGATGTGATACTTCAAAATGTTCATAAAAACAATGGTGATGGAAACATAGCTATAGGTATGTTTTCTCATGAGATTATTTTGGCAACATTGCTAGTATTGTGGCAAGTTTTCCACAGGCATCGGCTTCTGTTAAGAGGATGTTAATTATGCGCAGCTGAGTGAACCCTGATGGCAGTGGATGTGTGGCCTTTAAGTTAAAGGGATAGTTCACCCAAAAATTAAAAGACTATTTTAAGTGTTTTTGCCCATACACTAGAAGTCAATGTAACCAAAACTGAACATTATTCAAAATATCACCTTGTGTGTTCTGTAGAAAAACAGCAGTACAGTCATATAGGTTTGGAACAACATGAGGTTGAATAAATTATGACAATTTTCATTTGTGGGTTAACTAGTCATTTAAGTAAATATAGACTCCAAACAAAGAATCCATTCTCATGTAGGTGAGGCAAGTTCAGGTCTGACCCACTTCATGCTCCAGTCCCACTGGCTTTGTATCTCCCCCTAATTTCTTATATTTTCATTTTCTGTATAAAGTGCAAAGCACCCAAGATAAAATTAGACAAAAAGAAGAAAAGAGAAAAGAGCTGATGATGCAAACACAAGCCCTCACCTATTGTAATGTTAATACACAGCTTAACCGTTC